GTGCCCCCTCCTCCTGCAATATCCCTAGGGAAGGTAATCGTAACCTCAGCTGGCGGACTGCCCCGCCTCTGTGGAGAAGTCCGCGCTGAGGCAAATGGGCACGCAACGTCGTGCACACGACGTGCATCACTCGTAACAGAAAATGTACATGAAAAATGCAATGTACATGGAAAATATAATGTACATGGAAAATGTAATGTACATGAAAAGTCGTGAACGATGCGAAGTACCTGACACTAAAATCACACATGAAAAATGTAACATGATACAATGTATCCTACTGCTAAGGCACTGGTACCACATGTCGAAAAAAATACAAGAAACAGTAGTCTACAAGTCGTGTCGTAGSTGCCGAGATAYTGTACTCAGTCTGCTGCAACCGACGGTACTCTACGAACACACTACTGGCACCAAAATCATACTCTACGAACACCCTACTGCTACCAAAATCATACACACCAACAAGTAAAGCACGCACACTACCACTGAGTGTGTGACAATACTAAGACAAGACGAGATGACAAAAAAAACTAGGACCGCACAACATGACGAAGTACAGTGCGAGTAGGGGAGAAGCGGAGTGTTGGCCTCATWGGTCAACGRCCCTTCTTCCCCTTTCCGCTCTGTCTCCTCGTACCCCCTTGAGTGCCAGATGTCGACCTCTTCCTCCCTCGTGCGGATGAAGAAGTCCGCKCAGCGGAGCGTGTAGATGCACGCGTCGGTGGGGGTCCTGGGGGAGGTGGGGGCCCATCGTAGTCGTCGTCGTCGTCACCATCGGAATCGCTCCTGCTCTCCTCYTCTCCCTCCTCCTCGCCCTCATAGTCCTCGTCCTCCTCCCGCACAGCTGCATCCGTATCAGGATCATCCTCCTCGATGGTGACAGGGCCTCCTCCCTTCCTCAACACAACAACCCTCGCACTAGCCTCTGCAACCGTCTGCTCACGGCGAGATCCATGAGGCATCCCCAACCCCTCCGCCCCCGAACTCTCTCTAAGTGCAGCGCCTCCCTCTACAGGCACAGGGCGTGGACGAGGAGGCACTCCACGCTTGCATGGAGTCTGCTCCTGCACGGCATGCGTCGCTGCTCTCAGAGCGTGCTCCAAACTTTCGGTGGACACTCCTTTGCCGCGACCTCGCTGAGGCTCACAACCTAATGCTAGTACCTCCCTCGTCGCGGTCGTCCTGGCGCCGCGGGGTCCCAAGCCCGGCTGAAGGCGTGCAGTGTGCTTTGGACACGGCGGGKGGRATCCAAATCTATGTCTGTCCTCCCGAATAACGTCGTGTCACACACGTCCTGCTGAACTGCTGTCGTGTCACGAATTCTACATCTCCCAGGCTTGTGTGGGGATTGAGAGCCTCTGCCTGTGGGCTACGATGATGGATCACCTACAGGTGGTCTAGGAGGAGGGGGTGGCATGTCTCYTGTGCGTGGCGCTGTCTCTATCACGCCACCCGAAACCCCTGAAACATGTCCCACGACACGTACCCCGGTGGAGGTAGACCCAGACCACACGGGCGACGCAGGACCCCATGGAACCAAAGGAATCGCCTGCCATGCTGGATGCTCGAGCCTCTGGTCGAAGATCCGCCRGTCCAATCGAGTAACATCGTGCACAACCTTTCTCGCCAACTCATCTGCATCCAAAGGACGACGGACCTCCTGCGGAGCAAAGAGGCTAGGAAGACGTGGGGGCACAACCACCGGCTCGGACCCCAAATCCGTAATAACGGGCGGTGGCACACCATGCACTGCCATCTGAACCGCCTGCGACTGTCGGCCCTGAGCCAAGTGCAGGCCCGAGAATGGAAGACTGGACCCGTCGCTGTCTCCTGGACCACGCGCCGTGCGTCTGTAGCCCCCTCGTCTCGCCGCTGTCCTGCCTGCACAGCCTCATCCACCGCCTGTGGTCGTCCCTCCACAGCAACTTCCGCTGCCTCTGCTCCACCCGGCAATGCCTCACCGTCCGCCTCTGCTGGCACTCACTCCGCAACGTCCTCCCCCGCCACCACCCCACCCTGCACACAATCCCCCCCCGTCTCTCGGAGCCTGGCCTCCTCCAAGGCCCGTGCGAACGCCTGAGCACGCGGGTTACTCGATGCCAAAAGTCGAGCCCTCTCTCGCTTCATGATGTCGCATGCTRCATCTGGAGACTCAGTCAACGTCCTCTCTCTCGGGGTCTGCATCAAAGTCCGTCCTGCCGCCTCGTCCCTCGATGAAGCCCGATCCGTCGATGTCGCCCCGCTTCAACTAGGTGGAAGGCCCATCGACAAATCAAAGTCTAAGTGGGTCCCCATCTCCGAATCTGAAATCCCAAACCTCCTCGCCACCCCCGGGGTCATACCCGCTATGACCGGATCGAGCTTCTCTGTGAGGAACTGCTGCATGAGGCGCTCGTCATCGCCCCCACATGGCACCTTTGCCTGTGCGGCTATCTCCTCCTCCACTGGTCCTGCCACCCCCCTCTCCACTRCAGCTGCTGACGGTGCCTCCTCCTCCTCCACTGCTGCTGCCCCCTCCACCTCCACTGCTGCTGCTCCTCCGGCCGTTGGTGCCTCCTCCTCCAGCACTAATGCCGCCATCTCCTCCACCAATGCTGCTGCTGCTGCTGTTGCTATGTCGTCCACCGTGGCCGCGATCGTCACGACCGCCACCGCCGCTGGTGCCACCCCCCTCTCCACTGCTGCTACCGACGGTGCCCCCTCCTCCTGCAATATCCCTAGGGAAGGTAATCGTAACCTCAGCTGGCGGACTGCCCCGCCTCTGTGGAGAAGTCCGCGCTGAGGCAAA